ACATTATACTTCATTCTTACATGATTCTAACATAAATTTTTTTGATTACTCCTTATTTCTTAGTCATGATATTGTACATTTTTGTATATGTAAATTATACAATATTTAGGCATTGAATCGTATGCAAAAAGTCTGTACATTTCTAGTATACAACAAATATACATTAATGAATTTGTATAAAGTGTGTATACAAATAATGTACTGCTGTTTTCTTGTATGTATGAATTTTGTATACACACAATGAACACAATTTCAAAAAAGTATACTTTTTGTACAGAATATGTATACAATTAATATACTATTGGGGCGTACAATTTGGTAAAGGTTTGCATTAATAGCACATTGTTGGCTATATCGACCCCATATCTTACTGTTAATGCATAGAGTGTACTTTGTTAAACTATTTGACCGATTGTTGCGATACGTATGGTTTTATTATACTGAATTAAATATTTTGCTGCATTCTACGAATTGATTATTGCTTTCGCATATGTGTTGTCTGTGTCTGTGTGTGTGTGTGACTGAAGATACCCAGATACTATCGCCCATGCCCATAGATGCTTTCAATAGTATTGTACACCTGTACGTTTCATTGCTACCCTGGTTGGAAAGAGAACACAGTTACATTTGCAAAAGAAAAGCATTGCTAAGTCAACATATATGGAGGAATGTGGTTGATGTGAATTTAAAAAAAAATGTTTTTACAGCATGAATAGAGAAAAGTAATACACAAGAAAGTGATGTTTTGATTAAAAATACACATAAAAACAATATTAATTATTCTTACCTCTTGAGTCGCCGCACAGTGCGTGTTCGAATGTATTTTATATGTGTTGTATATGTTGCTATGGGTTTCATATCAAACACTGTATAGTGCAACGACTGTAGAGCTTTAAACTATCTCGACTGTAATGTACAATGACGTTTTGGGTAAAGGGATTACAAGTATGCAAATTGGTAATGGTCTTAGCAACATTATTGCAAGAAAGTATCAGAGTGGAGCAAATGGTTAATTGGTTGCGTTAATGAGTTATGGGAGAAGACATTTATGGCGGTTATCAACACCGCCTGAACTGTTCTCTCTAAACTACTATTATGTTAATTTAAATAGTGTCGCACAGTGAC